GCATTTTAAATAAGTCTCATGCACTCCCCAGATGATTCCCATACAGGTAATTTTAGGACCATGTTTTGTACTGCCCTATAAACTGTTTCTCAAATCGCTGGTTAACTCTAATGCAAACCCCTAAGCTTCAGATCCAGTTTTGTAGGATCTCAAGAGCTATTGCCACCCAACTTCAGAAGAGTTTCTGCAAGACTTTCCATTCTGTCATGATCTTCTTTCACCCAGAGGTATTCAATATTCACACAAGAACGGAGAATTTGAAAGATGCCCTGCTTAGCCTGTATGGGCTGCTGCAACAAAATGCCACAATGTGGGCGGCTTGTAAACAACATAAATTTATTTCTCACAGGCCTAAACGCTGGAAAGTCCAAGTTCAAGGTGCCTGCAGATTCAACATCTAGCGAGGGCTGCACTTCTTGGTTGATAGATGGCCCCTATCTTGCTGTGTTCTCACATGGGGAAGGAGCAAGGAAGCTCACTGGCACCTCTTTTATAAGGGCACTAATCTGATTCAGCAGGGCTGTGCCTCCCAATGGCCCCACGTCTTAAAACCATCACGTTGGTGATTAGGTTTCAACAGAAATTTGGGAACGTAGGGTAGGGGAGGATTAACATCCAGACCAAGCTCAAGCAAACAGTATCAGTTAGAACAGGAATTACCTTAGATCTCAACCTAATACCTAACCAGAATTATATGTGACCATTTTTGTCAAGTTTTGGTTTATAAATGCGAAAGGCAGGAACCCCTGACTTTCACAGAAGGAAAAGCCATGGCAGTTCTTGTGATTAACTGGAACCAGCAGTGATGGATTTGGGATAGTGAGACAGGCCTTCATGTAGTCTTCAATGAGCAAAGGATGCCTGAGCTAATTCATTCATTCAGCAAAGGCTTCCTGAGTGCCCATCTCGTGCCAGGTACCAGAATCCTCGCAGTGAGCAAAACTGGTAGATGTTCTCCCTATAGTTTGTAGAGAAAGACAGAAGATACTTTCAGATGGTAACAAGAGCTGGAAAAGAAATCGAGGATTGGGTAAGGAGTGGCTACTTTAGTTAGAAAGATCAGGGGAATGCCTCTGATTCAATAATATTTATGCTAAGATTTGAATGTCAAGAAGCTGGTCATGGAAAGATCCAGGAAAAATCTCACTTATATGTGGGATCTAAAAAAGTTGAACCCATAGAAAACAGAGGATAGAATGTTGGGGAGATGTTGGTCAAAGGGTACAAACTTTCAGTTATAAGATGAATATGTCCTAGGGATCTAATGTACCCCATGGTGACTCTAGTTAACAATACTGTATTATCTTTTGAAATTTGCTGAGAGTAGAAACTAAATGTTCTTGCTACACACACACAAACACACACAAATGGTAACCAGGGTGAGGTGACAGATATGCTAACTAACTTGATTGTGATAATGATGTCACAATATATATGTATATCAAATCATCACATTGTACCTCTCAAACTTACACAGTTTTATTAGTCAATTATACCTCAATGAAGTTGGAAAAAATTAAATTTAAAAAAGATCCAGGAGAAGAACAGTAGATGCAAACCTCTGAAATAGAAAGGAGCTTGGTGTGCTTGAGGAACAGGAAAAAGGCCAGTGTGACTGGAACAAGGGAACAAGAGGAAGGAGGAGTTGGAAAAGCAGAAAGAAGCTGGCTGCGGCAAAGGCATCGCTATTGCTGCAGTCGCAGAGAACTATTTTCAACAATGACACTCCAGTGACAAATCTTTGGTTCCGTGGGTGATTGCCAGGCTTTTCCGTACACACTGACGCAATGAGTAACTTGGGTCTGTCTAGCGGAAAATATCGACCTTGGGAAGCCATCCTCTCCCCCAAAGCCTTTTCTCCTCATTCAAGATGTCTGAAATTATACAAAGAAGGCAGAACAAGATATGATTCCTCTGTGATTCCAGAATAAGATGTCTGGCTTGGAATGAGACAATCATATGTTTTAGTTTCACCTCTGTCACCTTTTAGTTGGCAAGTTATTGAAACAACCTGAGCTTTGTTTCCACATCTGTAAAATGGGAATAACACAGAATGCCTTACTCACAGGGTTGTTGTAGGCATTGTGTGAGACAGCACACATAAATCATTTACTGCCGCAGCTGGCATATAATAGTAAGTGCACACAAATGTTATTCTTCTCCAAGAAGCTTCATTTCTCTAACTTAAGATGTTGATGGAAGTTAAACAGAAAGTCTGTCTGGAGTAATCACACTGTAACCTGTTATTTGTCATTTGTACCTTAGTGTGAATGAGTCTGCAGTTCTTTCTCCAAAGCTCTACAAAGTTGGATTCAAGAGAAAGAGAAGGTTGGGTGCGGTGACTCACGCCTGTAATCCCAGCACTTTGGGAGGTCGAGGCAGGCGGATCACTGGAGGCCAGGAGTTTGAGACCAGCCTGGCCAACATGGTGAAACCCCGTCTCTACTAAAAATACAAAAAATTAGCCGGGCATGGTGGCAGGAGCCTGTAATTCCAGCTACTCAGGAGGCTGAGGCAGGAGAATCGCTTGAACCCGTGAGGCAGAGGATGCAGTGAGCCGAGATTGCACCACTGTACTCCAGCCTGGGCAACAGAGGGAAACTCCATCTCAAAAAAAAAAAAAATAGAGAGAGAGATTGAAAGAGAGAGCAAGATTCTAGATTACAGAGGGGCCAGGGGAAAGAGGAGAAAACTATTTGTGGAAGAAGGGGTACAATCTCTGAAGTCTTCAGTGTTTAAATTCCTTAAAAACTATTAATAAAGGGAAAGAAGCCAGCATGAATTCTGACTGTCCTGTACAAACTGCACCTCAGAGTAACGAAATGCTGATGAGAGAAGTTTCTCTTCCAGACCAGTATTCTGGCTAAGGCATAGGAAGCAACAACAGAACTGGAGTATTACCACTGAGCAACCTCTAACGAGCTAAGGAGCTGAGTTAATCTGTACATCAGGACAGCTCACGTCACAGAAGCAGCGAGAACCCAGCATTTTGTGTCTCCAGATAGAAATACACACACCACCCCCTATGAGATATTTCTGCCCTACACTCAAGCCTAAAGTTTTAGGTCTAACTATCAGTTTGATGGCAATACAGAGACCAGAGGAACAGGTTAAACATTACAAGGAAGCAATCAGCAATATCCAGACTATGGGAAACTCTATTGGAGAAATCACCCAGTTTCTTCAACAAATAAATTGCAATGGAAAAAAAAAAAAAGAACATGAGGGGAAACCTGTAGGTTAGAAAAGATTTGGCTGGGCACAGTGGCTCACACCTGCAATCTCAGCACTTTGGGAGGCCAAGGTGGAAGAATCACTTGAGCCCAGGAATTCCAGACCAGCCTCGGCAACACAGTGAGACCCCCATCTCAAAAAAAAATTAGCCAGGCATAGGGGCACATGCCTGTGGTCCCAGTTACTCAGGAGGCTGAGGCAGGAGGATCACTTCAGCCCGAGAGGTCAAGGCTGCAGTTAGCAGTGATTTTGTCACTGCACTTCAGCCTGGGTGACAGAGCAAGACCCTGTCTCAAAAAGAAAGAAAGAAAGAAAAGATTTAAGAGGTATCCCAACCAATCACAACATAGGAACCTATCAAAAATCCTGATTCAGACAAACCAACTATAAAAGTAAAAGCTTATAATAAAATCAGTGAAATGTGACTGGATATCTGATAATATTAAGGAATTACCAATAATTTTTTAGGTGTGGTCATGATATTATGGTTACTTTTTAAAGAGTCCTGGCTCATGCCTGTACTCTCAGCACTTTGGGAGGCCAAGGCAGGTGGATCAGGAGGTCAGGAGCTCAAGACCAGCCTGGCCAACATGATGAAACCCCATCTCTACTAAAAATACAAAAAATTAGCCGGGCATGGTGGCAGGCACCTGTAATCTCAGCTACTCGGAGCGCTGAGGCAGGAGAATTGCTTAAACCCGTGAGGTGGAAGTTGCAGTGAGCTGAGACCAAGCCACTGCACTCCAGCCTGGGCAACAGAACAAGACTACATCTCAAAAAAATAAAAATAAAATAAAAAGAGTCCTTAACTTTCAGAGATATGTGCTGGAATATTTACACACATTTGCATTTATGATATGCATAGATATTTATAAATATATATTTACATATATAGATACATATAAATATATGTATAATACCTGGAACTTACTTCAGATTAATCCAGTAGGGGGACGGGGAAGATGGGATTCAGGACACGCTATCCCAAAATATGACATCTTGGCATTTGAGAAAACAGCAGAAGCAGGAAGGCCTCGCTCAGCTTTCCCTCAGCCTTCTCCCCTGAAGCAGGTCATAAATCCCTCATTTGAAAGGTACCCTTCCTATACCCGGGGTGAAAGGAACATCCTTACCTCTGAAGACACAGGGACACAGAGAGGAACCTGAACAAACAGGTCTTGCTAAGTTTCCCCCTAGCTTATTACCATTCAATCACATCCTTCTGCCCTGCAGTCATATTTCTCCATGACGGTCCATGCTTCATCAAACCTAAGCATAGCAATACACAAGTGCACCTGTTTACTTGAATCTTCATTTCCTTAAGAAGTCTCCCCTTCATATAAAACTTATATTAAATAAATGTGTATGCCTTTCGCTTGTTAATCTTCTTTTGTTATAGGAACCTCCAGTATGAACCTAGGGTGGATGAGAAAAAGAAATCTTTCCTCTCCTGCAGGGGTGTGGGTTTTTTAAATAACAATACAATAATAAAAACTAAAATAAAAACAGAAAAATGTTCAAATGACTTCACAATTTTTCTTAAGTTTCTGTTACCTGCACACATTGCACTGCTAAGCAAGGGCTCCACGAGTTGGAGGCATTTGAAAGCCTTTACATGGACACAACCACAATCATGAGCATGGCCAGTATTTATTGATAACCTATACAATCTAAGTCCAATCTAGGAACGTGCTCAACCAGAAGAAAAATGGTGCAATTGCGTGAAAACAAAAATCCAGACAGAAGATAAAGCTAGAGTTACTCACTGTGAGTTCCTTGCAACTCTGTTTTCCCCAGTTCTTTATGAGCTGCTGAAGACTGAGGGACCACGTTTTATTCATCTCTCTGTTCCCAGATCCTAGCACAAGCCTGACACATAGCAGCAGTGTGGACAACTGGATAAAGAGGAGCACAAAAAATAGGACTGTAGATTAAGGGAAATATTCTATAATTGAAAGCAGGGAGACGGAAGCTGAAGCCAGTCTGTTGGAACGGCCAGGGAAGAGTAAAGCTCTACGATTGTGCTCAATCTCCCGGAAGCCAAAATGATAACCAATACAAGAAACACCAGCCAAAGGCTGGGTGCGGTGGCTCACGCCTATAATCCCAGCACTTTGGGAGGCCGAGGCGGGTGGATCACGAGGTCAGGAGTTCAAAACAAGCCTAGCCAAAGGCTGGGTGCGGTGGCTCACGCCTATAATCCCAGCACTTTGGGAGGCCGAGGCGGGTGGATCACGAGGTCAGGAGTTCAAAACCAGCCTGGCCAGCATGGTGAAACCCCATCTCTACTAAAAATACAAAAATTAGCTGGGGATGGTGGTGCACGCTTGTAGTCCCAGCTACTCGGGAGGCTGAGGCAAGAGAATCTCTCGAACTCAGGAGGTGGAGGTTGTGGTGAGCCGAGATCACGCCACTGCACTCCAGCCAGGGTGACAGAGCAAGACTCCATCTAAAAAAAAAGAAAGAAAAAAAAGAAACACCAGCCAAGGCGGGAAAATTGTTTGAGCCCAGGAGCTCGAGACTGGACTGGACAACATAGCAAGACCTCATCCGTACTAAAAATTTTAAAATTAGCTAGGCATGATGGCTCACACCTGTAGTCTCAGCATTTTGGGAGGCCAAGGCAGACGGATAGCTTGAGCCCAGGAGCTCAAGACCAGTTGGGCAACATAGCAAGACCTTCTCTCCAAAAAAAAATGTAAAAATTAGCCAGGCACATTGCCATGCACCTGTGGTCCCAGCAACTTGAGAGGCTGAGGTAGGAGGATCACTTGAGCACGGGAGGTCAAGGCTGCAGCAAGCTATGATCACACCATTGCACTTAAGCCTGGGCAACAAATCATACGCCTCGTCTCCAAAAAAAAAGAAAAGAAAGAAAAGGGGAGAGAGGGAAAGAAGGAAGGAAGGAAGAACGGAAGGAAGGAAGGAGGAAGGAAGGAAGAAAGGAGGGACAGGGAGGGAAGGGAGGGAGGAAGGAGGAAGAGAGAGAGGAGGAGGGAAGGAAGAAAGGAGAAGAAAGAGAGAGATAGAAGAGAGAAAGAGAGAGAGAAAGAAGAAAGAAAGAAAGAGAGGAGCAAGGTGAGGCAGGAGAGGTGAGGCGGGGAGGGCGGGAGATGCGGGGCAGGGCAAGGCCAAAAGACAAGAAAGGGCCTAGGAAATCATCAGACTCAGGGATTGTGGTTTGTGGCTTTAAACTGATTCAGTCTCTCTTCCACACAAAAGTCAGCCATTGCCAGGCAGGTCTGGGAACTAAAGAGCCTTAGAGGAAACCGAGCTTCTATTCCTGGGAGTCAACAAAGAGCTAACGGTCCCCGGAGAAGGTGAAACCACATCAGCAAGGTGGGGCCTCTGCACTGCCTGCTGGGAAATTCCATCCTTTGCAATTCCACCCTGTTTACTTCTCTCACCAGGCCAGAAAAAGCACATAGGGGGCTTTTTGGAGAAAGGCTGGGAAGCAGGGAATCAGTAACAGTGTGGGAAGAATAAACATCCCTGGGACAAAGTGACAGTGGAGAAGGTAGAGTGTGTCATATGGACAGGGTTTCGTATACACAGCTTGAAAACCTACACTTAACTTCATTTCCAAATTCTTCTACAGTTTTTTGCCTCTCAGGGCATGCACTTGGCCATGTAATTGCTGTGCAGCTCAAAGCCTGATTCCTGGCACCTCCACACTCAGCCATAAAGCAAAACCATCTGAAAGCACTTTCAGTGTCAATTTACTACTGAGGCTCTTTTCCCAGGATTCCTCAACCATGGCCGTGAGCAGCAGAAAGAACTTCTGGTGAGGTACTCAGGGCTTGGGAATATACCAAAGTCAATCAGGCTCAACACAAAGTCCCTTATGCTAGGATTTTCTTGCATTTTGATTCCAAGCCCCACTTACCACCCCAGGCAGACCCACAGTGGGCACTGCTGCTTGGGAAGTCTCAGCTGCCTTCCAACGGTCTTGCTTTCACATAAAGGGGTCCTAAACAACACTTCCAACATTGCCTGCAAAGGTATGCTTTCCCTTCAGCTCAGGTTCAATGCCACCACTCCTTCGCTCTTTTTATTGCAAATGATATTAGATGTGCACTTGAGGAAGAAACTTGCCCTCCCTTATTTTTTTCCTTTTCTCTGTCTTCATTGGAGTATCCCACAGCCTGGATGTAGAAAAGGATCAGGGTTCTTCCCTTCCTTGCACATGTGTGCCATTGCCACACACATGCCATTTTGTAAGTCTCTATCTTTAAGAATCCCACAGCTAGCTGAGTGCAGTGGTTCAGCCTGTAATCCCAGCACTTTAGAAGCCGAGGCGGTGGATCACTTGAGCCCAGGAATCAAAGCTGCAGTGAGCCAAGATTCCATCTAGGTGACATAGGACACCCTGTCTCAAAAAAAAAAAAAAATCCACTTTATTTCATAAAATCCACTATCCACCACAAAAATCCTTTTTTATTTAATTTATTTATTATTATTTTATTATCATACTTTAAGTTCTAGGTAACATGTGCACAATGTGCAGCTTTGTTACATAGGTATCATTGCCGTGTTTGTGTGCTGCACCCATTAACTCTCATTTACATTAGGTTAAATCTCCTAATGCTATCCCTCCGGTCCCACCCCATGACAGGCGCCATGTTGTGATTATCCCCTGCCTGTGTCAAGGTTCTCATGTCAGTTCCCACCTATAGTGACAACATGCGGTGTCTGGTTTTCCTGTCCTTGCATAGTTTGCTGAGAATTATGGTTTTCCAGCTTCATCCATGTCCCTACAAAGGACATGAATCATCCTTTTTTATGGACTGCATAGTATTCCATGGGTATATATGCCACATTTTCTTAATCCAGTCTATCATTGATGGGCATTTGGGTTGGTCCAAGTCTTTGCTATTGTGAATATGCTGCAATAAACCATATGTGTGCATGGTGTTTAAGCAGCATGATTTATAATCCTTTGGGTATGTACCCAGTAATGCAATGGCTGGTTCAAAGGTATTCTAGTTCTAGATCCTTAAGGAATGCCCACACTGTCTTCCACAATGGTTGAACTAGTTTACAGGTTCCACCAATAGGTGTAAAATGTTCCTATTTCTCCACATCCTCTCCGCACCCATTTTCCTGACTTTTTAATTCATTTGTAACTGGTGTGAGAGGTATCTCATTGTTGGTTTGATTTGCATTTCCTCTGATAAGCAAGTAGGATGTGAGCATTTTTCCATGTGTCTGTTGGGCTGCATAAATGTCTGTCTTTTTGAGAAGTGTCTGTTCATATCGCTTACCCACTTTTGAGGGTGTTTGTTGTTTTTTCTGTAAAGTGTTAAGTTCTTTGTATGAATTCCTGATATTAGCCCTTGTTGAGATGGGTAGATGCAATATTCTCCATTCCTGTAGGTGGCCTGTCACTTCTGATGTGGAGTTTTGTGTGCGAGAACTCTGTAGTTTAATTAGATCCCATTGTCAATTTGGCGTTGTTGCATTCCTTTGGTGTTTAGACATTGCCATGCCATGTCCTGGAATGGTTATTGGCTAAGGTTTTCTCTAGGGTTTTATTGGTTTTAGGTCTAACCTTTAGTTAATCCATCCTTGATATGAATTGTATAAGGTTAGGGAAGGGATCCGATTTCAAGCTTTCCATTGTTAGCCAGTTTTCCCAGCACCATTTATTAATAGGGAAATCCTTTCCCATTTCTTGTTTTGTCCAGGTTTCAAAATCAGATGGTGTTTGGTAGATGTGTGTAGGGGATTTATTTCTGAGGGACTTCTTTCTGTTCCCTGGTTTAATATCTGTTTTGGTACCAGTACAGCCTGTTTGGTTACTGTGCCTTATGTATGTTTGAAGTCGGTAGCGTGGAGCCTCCAAGGCTTTGTTCTTTTCTGCTTAGGATTGTCTTGGCAATGCAGGGCTTCTTTTGGTCCATATGAACCTTTAAGATAGTTTTCCTAATTTTGTGAAGAAAGTCCTTGTGACATTGATGGGATGGGCAATTAAACTATAATACCTGTGGGCAGAATGGCCATTTTCACGATACTGCTTCCCCTATCCATGAGCATGGGAATGTTATTCCATTGTTTGTGCCTCTTTATGTCATTGAGCAGAGGTTTTAGTTTCCTTGAAGAGGTCCTTCACATTCCTTTGTAAGTTGTATTCTAGGATATTTATTGCTCTTTGGAAAGCATTGGAATAGGGAGTTCACTCATGATTTGCTCTCTGTTTGTCTGTTATTGGTGTATAGGGAATGCTGGTGATTTTTGCACATTGATTTGTGTATCGGAGACTGTAAATGTTGCTATCAGGCTTAGGAGATTTTGGTCTAGATGTAGGGTTATTCTAAATACCATTCATGTCAATCTGCAAACAGGACAATTGACTTCCCTTTCTAATTGAATACCTTTATTTCTTTCTCCTGCCTGATTGCCCTGGCCCAGACTTCCAACACTATGTTGAATAGGAGTGGTGAAGAGAGGCGCAATCCTGTCGTGTGCCAGTTTTCAGAGGGAATGCTTCCAGATTTTGCCCATTCAGTATAATATTGGCTGTGGGTTTGTCACAAATAGCTCTTATTATTTTGAGATATGTCCCATCAATACCAAATTTATTGACAGTTTTTAGCATGAAGAGCTGTTGAATTTTGTCAAAGGGCTTTTCTGCATCTGTTGAGATAATCATGTGGCTTTTGTCTTTGGTTTTGTTTATATGATGGATTACATTTATTGATTTGCGTATGCTGAACCAGCCTTGCATCCCAGGGATGAAGCCCACTTGATCATGGTGGATAAGCTTTTTGATGTGCTGCTGGATTCGGTTTGCCAGTATTTTATTGAGGATTTTTGCATCGATATTTATCAGGGATATTGGTCTAAAATTCTCTTTTTTTGTTGTGTCTCTGCCAGGCTTTGGTATCAGGATGAT